CCCCCCCCCTTTTTTTTTTCTTGAAGGGAATTGCGGATTGGTCTTTTGCGATTTTTGTGATGGACGGGAACAAAGACGATGCTTTGAAATGTTTGAAAATCGGAAAAGAATCTTTGGAAGCTGGGAATCGGACCCGTGCCTTGAAATTTGTGAATAAAGCTCGCCGTCTTGATCCGACGCTCTCCGTTGACGATCTCTTATCGGAAATTCAGAACGTTTCCGGTGAAGATTTGGGTGTTAATAGTGGAGAATCTGGGAATAGGTCGTCTGATACCTCTTCATCTAAGCCCTCGGATAAGCCTTCGATTCGCCGTAGGGTTCCGCCCTCGGGGTCTTCCGAATCTTCAACATCGGCCACTTACACGGAAGAGCAGATTGAGGTTGTGAGGAAAATTAAGAAGAAGAAGGATTATTACGAGATTTTGGGATTGGAGAAGAGTTGTAGTACTGAGGATATTCGAAAGGCATATAGAAAGCTGTCTTTAAAGGTCCATCCAGATAAGAACAATGCTCCTGGCGCCGAAGAAGCGTTTAAGGCTGTATCAAAGGCGTTTCAGTGTCTGAGTAACGAGGAGAGTCGGAAAAAGTATGATGTTGTTGGGTCTGATGAGCCAGTTTACGAGAGACAGACTACAAGACGTGGTGCAAATGGATTTAATGGGTTTTACGAAGCTGATATTGATGCAGATGAGATATTTAGAAACTTCTTCTTCGGTGGAATGGCACCTACAACCACACAGTTTCGTACTTTCAATTTTGGCCCTGGAATGGGACATAGAACAGCTGATCAGGGATCAGGTGGTGGCCTTCGGACTCTCATTCAATTGCTCCCTGTGCTGTTGATATTGCTTTTGAACTTCTTGCCATCCTCAGAACCTATCTATGCTCTGTCCCGCTCCTATCCCTATGAATTCCAGTTCACCACTCAGAAGGGTGTCAATTATTATGTGAAATCAACAAAATTTGAGGAGAAGTATCCACCTGATAGCCCTGACCGCATGTCACTTGAGCGGCACATAGAGAGGGAGTACTTTAACATTCTTGCTCAGAATTGTCGTGTTGAGATGCAACGTCGGCAGTGGGGATTAATAAGGGAAACTCCATATTGTGATATGTTACAGAAGTTTCAGTCAGCTGCTTCGTGAATGAACGAAAGGTTCATTTCATCCCTCTTTTTATCCTTTATCAATCATAGATGTATAATCATTATTGTTCAAGATTGTTTACCAAGTTTTCTTTAATCGAACCGATTTAACTTTTCTTGCCGTGGGGCCTCTCCATTTACTTGGATTTTGAAAGTCATATGCTTTTCGCAACATTATTCATTTCTTATGCTAATACTTGACCTGATAATCGATATATGTATGTGGCAGGATATCTTTTCAATGGTTCAATTAGAATACATGGGAATAGAACTTTCTATATACCATGGTGGCAAACTGGTGAATTGAGCTGCGTTAATTATTTGGTTCGAATGTTACCCTTATGTTGTTCCCTTTTCTTTTATTGGGACTGAAACAAATGCTGACTGAAAAAGATATTTTCAAATATTTCCTTTAAGTTCGTTCTCCTGACTTGTTTGAGGTTGATGCATATGAATGGTTTTCTTTTTTCAAGTCTTGTTTGAAGAACACCTTTTGTTGAGCTGTTCTGCAGAGAAATGCTCGTTCATGTTGAACATGGGATTCCTCTGTTAACTTCAGATTTGAGATATATATGTTCCTTGTTCTCTTGTCTGTGTAATTCAATTATGAGTATTAACAAATCTCCATTGGATGATGTACTTTTATAACACTCAAAATGTCTCTTTTTCTGCAGATGGCTTCTATTAAGCTGCAACTACTGCAAGGCGGGGTTGCTTTATCTGCAATTAACTCAACTAATGTGAAAAAAGTGAGCCTCTTATTTCAAATGTTTTGCTTCTCTTCTGCATCCGAAGTTACCATCAAATGTCCGTGTCTGGTAGCTAGCTTGCAGCAGATTAGGTGGTTGAGTAATATTGGGACCCCAAAGCTTAGATAGTCATAAAAGTCACAGTATCAATTAATACTAACGTGTGTTGTGGTGTTATTACTTTTTTTTACTGTCTCATGCTCTCTGTCATTCAATTTTCAGTATATTTGAGTGATTCACATCGATTGTTTCATGGAAATTGTTGGAATAAAACTGAAGAACTTCATTGAGTAATAATTTAAGTGGTAATTTTCAGATGTGTAGTGATGCAAGGTAAGAGTTTGTTTGAATTCCAAGTGTTTAAAAGCACTTTTTTTAAGCCTTTAGAAAGATTCAATATTGACTCTAGATAGTGCTACAAACCAGTGTTCTATCCTTCCATTGGTATACTTTGGATGGTCTACACCCATTGAGTAGGCCTTTCTAGTTTCTATATAGAGAACAATTGAGCACAATTTAGGGTCGAATTAAGTTACAAGTTTAGCTTTTGAACACGTTTTTTAGTACTTTTATGGGCGTAATTTGTATCTTAAAATTTTAATATAATACTTTATTTTAAAATTATTTTATTACTTTTAAAATTTTGGTTAATAACTTTAAACTTATACCTTTTTCAAAAATATTTTTTAATGAAAAACCTAAAATTGTTTGTCTACATCATGCTAATAAGTTGAGAAAGTTCTCAATAATTAAAAATGATATTTCTTCTCCATTCTTTTTGTAAGATTTTTATATGGTTTTGAGTATCCGTATCCATATGAAAAAGATGAGTATCTATGTTAATTGTTTTCTAATTAATGGTTTCGAAATCTATGTTAATTGTTTTCTAACTAATGGTTTCGAAATCAAAAAATTCGAAGGCAAAAAATTGAGTAATTGGGTGTTGAAGCTTATTATATTTCTATGTTTTAAATTATAGAATTTCAATTTTTTTTTAAAGTTCTAATATTCAATAAGAGGAATTAAAAAGAAAAAAAAAAAAAGAATTAGATTAAGAGTGTATTTGAGGAGAAAAAAAAAAAAGAGAGAGAATTAAAATCAAACGGATTTTAAACTAAATTTGAATCCAATTAAGTTTGGACGACGATTGTAACAGAAAACCCTAGGGTTTCTGTTGCTCTTCTAAAACCCTAATTCCAGAGTCTCATCTCCACCTCCAGAATCCTGCGTCTCTGCTTGCTCAATCTTCGAACGAACAATGGTACTCTCTCTCTCTCTCTCTGTTTGAAATTGAGTGATAAAATGTAGTTTTGATTGATATCTAGTGTGACTTTTATGTATTTGTGTTGTAAACTTGTAGACTGCAGAGAAAGTGAACCCCAAAGCATACCCATTGGCCGACGCGCAACTTACAATCACCATTCTTGATCTTGTTCAACAAGCTGCTAACTACAAGCAAATCAAGAAGGGCGCCAATGAAGGTACCTTCTCTTCTTGTACTTCTCTTCACACATTCTTGTGTTCACTATCACAAGAATGAGTTTTGTTTCTATTTTGTATGTTAAGTGGATTGATTTTTTGTTTTGTGTGACTTTACCAGCAACCAAGACGCTGAACAGGGGTATATCTGAGTTCGTTGTCATGGCCGCTGATACAGAGCCCCTTGAAATCCTCCTCCATCTTCCTCTGTTAGCCGAGGATAAGGTACTCTTCAATCCTCAATAGAGGAGTTTATTTATTTTGAGTTCATTGGATTGTTTGATGTGTTTCTGGGTTTTGAGGCTACATGTACCAAGATAAGGATTTGTATAAGAACTGATACCCTTATTCTTGACCTGCCAAAGAGGCTGTAGCCAAATCATACGAGTGAAGTTTACTGGCCGGTTGTTGTTCTCTGTCAACAAATCTGCTTACCGAACTTCCTACATTTCTTTTCACCTTCCCTCAGTAATCTGTTTATTTACCTTTCCCCTTTGAATGAATAAAGCTCACATGATAAGAAGGTTGGACAAGTGAAACGGCATAGGGTTTCGCCTTCTAAAATTTCTGTCATCTTCTAGGCAAGCTGCATTAGTCTCTATAGTTGGCATACCCAATAAGCTGCTCTAGGCGTTTCTCCTTGAGAACTTGTTAGTGGTTTTCATTTTTTGGTAGCTTCTCATCCAGGATATATATGTATATATAAAGGGTTATGTGAGCTGCATTAGTCTCTATAATTGACATACCCAATAAGCTGCTCTAGGCGTTTCTCTTTGAGAACTTGTTAGTGGTGCTCATTTTTTGGTAGCTTCTCTTTCTGGATGTATATATATGTGTGTGTGTGAAATGGAAGTATTGCAACCTCGAAAACCCAAATACCACTCATCAGTATAGTTATGCCCGTCCCAATCTGTGTTACAAAGGGTACTATCATTAAAATCGTATCAATGGAGATGTCTAGTTTTTGTTGTATCAATTGAAGTTTAGTTTGGAAGCAGTTAGCCCCTGTTTTGATGTTTTGTCCAGTCATAATTTCCTGCTTACAGATTGATTTTTGATGTCTGTATCTTGGTAATGGAAAAAAGTGTTGCATTTCATTTTGCAGAATGTGCCCTATGTGTTTGTCCCGTCTAAGCAAGCACTTGGCCGAGCTTGTGGAGTTACAAGACCTGTTATCGCCTGTTCTGTGACAACAAATGAAGGAAGCCAATTGAAGTCGCAAATACAGCAACTCAAGGTAAAGTAATTGTGCCAGTAAATATCTCCCTTTCTTTTCCAAATTCGTCCATGACAACATGTTATGGCCCTTATGTTTGATATATAGGACGCCATTGAGAAGCTCCTGATTTGAAGATCTTGGCAATTGGCAATTGAGAATTTGGAGGAGGAATATGTAACAACCACTGCAGTTTTCTTTTTCAAGATGTCCGATTGTGATGATCCTTCATTATGTTTGCCATATCATGATTTTGGTTAGATATTTGACATTAAATGTTTGACAAAGATGAGTATAATCGGATTTCTAGAACTATTTTGAATCACAAATGTGTGTGGATCATCGTCTTGAACTATTTAATTCATATCTCTAATATCCTTTATTATATATAAATAACAAGATTTATAACTCAATAAATTTCTATTGAAGATATGTATTTTTCTGATTCTTATGAATAATATAAAATTAACATTTTATTTATATTGTAAACAAAAGTTATAACACATTCAAATGAAAAGCAACAAAATATTAGGAATATAATATAAACCATAAGCTGTTTAACTTATTTTATAAATGTAAAAGTTATATTTATTAATTATTATTTTTCTAAAAATATCCGTTCATATACACACTTGGTGATATTTTCATGAGAGAAGTACAAGCATTTGTCAGGATTTTGAAAACATTATATATTTTTAATTTTATGATTCGAATCTTTAAACAAAAAGTGGGCGTGCCGGAGTGGTTATCGGGCATGACTAGAAATCATGTGGGCTCTGCCCGCGCAGGTTCGAATCCTGCCGCTCACGCTTTTTTTGTTTTTTTTTTTCCTTTTTTCTTTGAGTCTGATAGTTGAATGGTTAAAAAGAGAAGGAAACACCCACGAGAAAAATAAGAGATGAACAGATATTTATTTTCATTAATCATCCATCAAGTTCAAATAAATCTGTGAGAGTTAGTTAGTTCATCAATCACAACATGGAGCGGATCTCCACATTCCCATGTATCCTACATGCTCCAAGCAAGCTCTGTAATGCACGTACTCCCGCCCCTCCTGGTATACCATTTCCTCACCCTCTTCCAATCCCCCTGCACGCCCCACCATATCAACCATACAGGACTGCTGCTCTGCTGCTGCCTCAATCCTATGATCTTTGATCATCATATCGAAAACTCGACCACCCATGTCCACCACCCTGTTCCTGCTGCATTCAGACAAGAAGATAGTGTTGGGTTATGAAGCTTATTTATAGCTTATTCAATTGTTATAGATAGTAAAACTATATATCGAAAATGGTCTAAATCACTATTTATACTAAAAAGCGGATAGAGATATATATGGTAGATAGTCATATATAGTAAACTGGAATTGTATATATACTTTAACCCGTGCTTTGAAGATGTTTCTGCATTCTCTGCATTCTTATATACTTGAATCATCAATAGAAACCTTTGGCCAATATTCTTTTGTGCTTTCTTGTGCGATCAGGATTTATCTTCTCCTTCTCCATCTTTTCGAACAGTTTCATCACCGAATCGTAATCTCTGTGTTGTGCGTAGCCGGAGATCAATGCTGTCCAAGTGAATTGACTTTATGTTTCATTGAAAACTCTTTGGGATTCTTGAATGCTCCCACGCTTTGCATACAAGTCTAGGAGGGTACCTGAAATAATAGGGTCGAAGTTCAATCCTACTTTTATCAAATGAGAATGACATCGTTGGCCATGCATGGCTTGGATTCCATTATTGAACACCAAAATAGCTTCTAACCCATGATCTCCCTCTTGTGCATAGCCAGTAATCAACGCGCTCCAGGATACCCAATCCCGGCTGCGCATTTCATCAAACACTTGTCGAGCGTCCACAAGATGTTCCCATCTCGAGTACATCGTAATCAAAGCATTTCCAACAAAAACCTCACCATGGAATCCACATTTGTGGATAAGAGTATTGCAACTGCCAACCAAAAAGAAAATCTTCTCCATCTAAGCAGAAGAAAAGTGTGGTAGTTAAAATCCAGATGGTGGTGGGTAAGCATGAGAGCGAAGGTAGTTGATAGTTGAAATCAACTGGCGAGGGCCAATCAGCCAAATTGAAGCCTTCAAATTTAAAAACTCTGTTACAAGGAATGTTTCGTTTCCCTCTCTCAATATGGATCTCACAGTCTACCCGTTTGGGGTACAACGTCCTTTGCTGGCACACTGCTTTGTGTCTGGCTCCAGCACTAATTGTAACCGTCCAAGTCCATAGTCAGTAGTTATTGTCTATTTTGGCCCGTTACGTATCGCTGTCAGCCTCACAGCTGGAAAGATTTCAATGAGCTTTGTAGGGTCAAGATTGGTTGGTGTAAGATTCACTGGCATCTTCTTTGTCGAGCTTCTGATTAATTAAAGTCGCTTTCAGTCACCTAACCAATGTTTAGACGACCACTAAACATAACATAATTGATATAAATAATGTATCATTTATATAAAAGAAAGCCCACGATCATAAACGCCCCAATGACACGGGTGACACGTGGGACGCTATTTTCACACCTAGCACTTACAATAATTTCATCTTTTAAGCAAACACCTCCCCCACAAAAAATCAAATAATATTAGTGAACATGGATTTCATGGTTATATCTCAAATAAAAAAATTAAAAAAAAAAAAAAAAAAAAAATCAGGAGGCAGATATTGTCTATCTTAGGCTTTCATTTTAAAACGCCCTTCTAAAGAGAGGTTTCCAGGAATGTTTTGTTCTCTTCTACAACCAATTCGGATCTCACACCGTCATTGTATAGACAGTTGACTTTATAACAACCCAAAATTATAATGAAAAGACACCAATAGTTGTATTTGACACCATACTGAGCGCCTCTAATTGAAGTCGTTAGCTACCTTGAATAAAATCTTTATTATTATTATTATAAATATTATAAACATGTGAGAATTAGATATTTTTGTGAAACTAAGGATAAGATTAAATAATTGTTGGAGGGAATTATAATATAAGGTATGATTTAGGGGTGGAAAGCATATCTTAGTTTAAATATAATATATAGTTTGATTGATATACATGTATCGACTATAGTTTCCAACTATATATTATAATCCATGTGATGCATCCTCATATTCAAAGCATATTCCTCATTCCCTTTCAATGATTTCTCTTTCCCATTATGTTTTTTGAAACAAGTAGCAAACACATCATGATCTCTTCCCATGATAATATGATTTACTTTTGAGCTACTTTAGGTATCATTTTATTTGCTACACCTTCACATTTGGAGCCTTTTGGGAAGTGGAATTCCAAACATATAGTTTTTAGATAACTTCAACATTTTCTCATTTATATCATACTAATAATATACGCTCCTCTGTGTCTAGGACACCTGGATATCGAACTACGAACGATAAAGGGTCTCTCAAGAATGACCCATTGCATTGAAAACAAAGATGTCAATGAGTACTGATTAATAGAAGTACGTTTGTCCATTGATAGTAGTATACTATGTGGGACGGAGTAGTAAGGACCCTTCTCACTTCCTACGAGTCATTTGACGAAAAAGACTTTCTGGGTAGTAAATGAACTAAATGCTTGTTAATCTACGACCGTAAAAACACCCTTTGTAGTAGCCAGAAACCCTAATTTAGTTATAAAACCATGCAACCACGTCGTGATGCTACAAACTATTTTGACAAGAATATTTCAGATTTTAGCTTCTCTACGCTAAAAAAACAGCCGTTGGGATGCTGCTCCACACGTTTTAAGCCTCAACGACTTCTTTTGTGATATCCCACATTGATTGGGGAGGAGAACGAAACACCCTTTGTAAAGGTGTGAAAACCTTTTCCTATCAGACATGTTTTAAAGCCTTGAGAGGAAGCTTAAAGAAGACAATATCTGCTAGCAGTGGTCCTGAACCGTTACAGTTTTGCTCTACCTTTTTATTATTTTGCAAATTCATTATAAAAATACTTCGAAAAAGTTTTCTATCACCTCTGGTCAAAGTATAATCAACAAGTTGAACTATATTCATGTTAACACAAACTCAAACACCTATACACAAACTTCACGTTTCATGTTTTAAACACATACAAACCAATTTAAACATATCTCAACTTATTAAGACATACATCTTTAATCAATCAAAAAATCAAAATCAGCTTATAATAATGATAATAATTAATACTCACACAAACCAAACACGTATGCTACAAACCAAAGTTTCTAGACACACACACGATCGAAAAACTCGACAACATACATATATATATATATATATATATATAAAGCAAATCATTAAGAGATGTATTATAGAGAAGTTTGAAGAACAAAATGTGTTTGTTAGAAGCTTTACAGCTGGGGAATTTGAAGACCAGACACGTGGGAGGGATGAAGATCATAAAGCAAAGATAGGCCACAAGGGTTGGGAAAGGGAAAGGGCCTCCACACAAACAATAGCAGTTCAGATTGGTATCATATTTTAATTCATTGATTCAACAAAAAGGCAGCAAAATGGGGGGAAGAGAGGGCCCCTTAGGGATTACTCATATCATATGAATTAAAATGCATTCCAGTTTTGATTCTGTGGTGCTTAGTGGAGAATTTCTTTTGGTTATTTATTCAATGGGCGGTGGGCGTCTGATAGTTCCATATTGTTTGGTCTGTGGGTATCTTCATGAACCCTACCTTTCAGGTGCAATGCATGCTTTTGGATATTCCACTAAGGCACGTGAGGCACCCCACAACATCACGTGGCTTTTGCCAACCCACTTGGATTTTAATTCTCTAGTTTCCTTCCAATTATTTGAGTTTATATTATTTGTGTTTGGATTGGGGAATGTCAACGCTCTCCTATGTCAACGCTTGGAACATGTATCATTGCTCTTCTTACTTCTTGTTTCTTCATTCCCCCACTTGGGTCAACTTGGCATATAATTCATTAATGTGAGATCTTATATATGTTGGGAGGAGAAAGAAGCATTCTTTATATGGGTATCAGAGCTAAACACTAGATGATGTGCTAGCAAGGAGGCTGAGCCCTGAAGGGAGTGGACACAAGGCAGTGTGCTAGCAAGGACGCTGGCTTCGAACAGGGTGGATTTGGGGGGTCCCACATCAATTGGAGAAGGGAATGAGTGCTAGCGAGGATGCTGGGGTCCGAAGGGGAGTGAATTGTGAGATCTCACATCTAAAGGTATGGAAACCTCTCTCTAGCAGACGCGTTTTAAAAACCTTGAGAAAAGCTCGAAAGGGAAAGCCAAAGAGGACAAAATCTGTTAGAGATGGGTTTAGGCTGTTACAAATGGTATCAGAGTCAAACACTGGACGATGTGCTAGCGAGGAGGCTAAGCCCTGAGGGGGTGGACACAAGGCAATGTGCTAGCAAGGACACTGACTCTAAAGGGGGTGGATTTGGGGGATCCCACGTCGATTGGAGAAAGGAATGAGTGCTAGTGAGGACGCTGGGCCCCGAATGGAGTGGATTGTGAGATCTCACATCTAGAGGTGTAGAAACTTCTCTCTAGCAGACGCATTTTAAAAATCTTGAAGGAAAACCTAAAAAGAACAATATCAGTTAAATGTGAGCTTGAACGGTAAGAAGACAATATCCGCTAGAGATGTTACACCTAATGATGGGTTTTGTAAATTTGTTGGTAAATTTGGATATTACTTTGTTTGAAGAACATGTCTTGGATTTGGATGTTGTTCGGTTGCTATCTGTCGGTGATGTGGCAGTAGGCTAGGGTCGCAGCCCATGAGATCGAAGTTTAGAAGAAGTTGATCAAAGATGGCGCCTACCTTAGGGAATTTGGGTGGGTTAATAAGGGTAGGGAAGATATTTTTGTGGGGGAATGTCTATAGATTTGGACGTATATGCAAAAATGTTATAGTGGGGTGAGTATTATGAAGAGCTAGGTAGCTACTTAAAGGAGAAGAAAATGATATAAAGAGACCCTACTCCAATGCAAACAATATGATAGGTATACATCGAACGAATTCAGATAAATTGCACTTTTCGTCACTAAAGGTTAGATTTTTAGTTTGCTACTTGGTCCGAGTGGTTCCTTAGTTAACATTTTTCGACATTAAGATTTGGATTTGCTTCTCTATGGTCCACGAGGGACTCACAATAGACATTTTTTTTGGTCACGGAAGGAGTTGGATTGAACCGTTAACTGGCTTAGCTTAATGAAATGAGGAAGTAGTAGTATGTTAACGTATTGATATTGAGTATCAAGCTTATGTCAGTTGTCGTGTTGGGTCGACTGTCGTCGTTCTCAACTCAATTGAAGATGTTTCATTTGAAGTCAATGGCAAAAAGGGTGGCAATGGTCTTTGTTGACAAGGAATCTCTTAATGGTGTTGTAACTGAGAAAGAATCTTTCGTGGCCTTTAATGATTGTCATCTATTAGCTAGGAAGCTAGCTAGACACGAAGTAAATGCCTAGATTAGAGTAATTACGTTGACATGTTAGAATCGATATACACTAATAGAAATACTACTTTGACATCTTAATGTTACTGTCGGTGAGCCTAAAGTTGGAACATATGAGTCTCTTTTTTGGTGGAAGACATCCATAGCTCATGAAACTACGACTTCTTTGTATATATGTTCGACTTTTTCGAGCGGTTTTAAACCCTAGGACACGATTCTTAAAGTAATTTAGAGGCACAATTGTGCACTATTATAGAAACTTTATGGTTAAGCGTGTTTTACTTGAAACAATTTTATGTTTAGTGACTTCTTATAAATTTTCCTGAGATGTATGTGAGTGAAGACAAATCATATTAGAAGGACTTGTGTTAATTTGTGGAATGACCATGTCGCAGGAGAATATCGAGGCTATCTAGTGCTGAATCCTAATCCAAATTCGATACATGGATTATTACACTAGTGGACATAGTCTCTTTTCTGTAACAGTCCAAGCCCACCGCTAGTAGATACGGTCCGTTTTGGCTTGTTACGTATCACCATCAGTCTCATAATTTTAAAACGCATCTACTAGGGAGAGGTTTCCATACCCTTATAAAGAATGTTTCGTTCTTCTCTCCAACCAATGTGAGATCTCATAATCTACCATCTTGGGGGTTCAATGTCCTTGTTGGCACACCACTTGGTGCCTAGCTCTATTATCATTTCTTGATTTGTGCATGTCATCCTTGCACAGGGGCCATGTTGATCTTCTCTGTATCGTTCCAATTCTATCAGATGTCCCCGTAGTTTGCTTCGGCTATTACACTTTGCTAACGTAACTACTCCAGGGGAGGATCATATTTAATATATCCTTCTGATATATTGATCCATTGGGCAACATAATAATCCTGTTGTTGTGTTGATTATCCAAACCTAAAAAGATTGCAATTCTGACTAAGAATCAGATCAAGACATATATATACACTCAGTTTCATCCACAAACTTAGTTCATTCATATCCTAAAAGGTTCATCTTTTGATAATGGTTAAAGATCAAAGAGACTGTTCTTAATCTAAATTTGAGGAGCCAGGTGAGTTTATCGAGATGGGCAACTCCCAAAACGAGTTAAAAGCAAAAGTAGATTTGGCAAACCCCAAATTATTGAACCGACATATCTGTGCGCCACATGTCTCCACAAAAACAACGCTTCAGGAGAGACCAATAATATAGCAGAGTAGAAAGCAATTTGAAAGGCAGCACTTATGGTGTGGAAGAAAGACAAAAAGAAAGTAACCAATGGAAGGCTCCCTATGGGGCTTGGCTTGGGGTCGATGCGGAGAAAATGGAGAGGATGAGGAAGTTTAAGTGGTGGGATCAACAAAGGCTTTGCTTTTTGGACCCTTTGTGGGGTACCAAAACCACTTGCAAAAACTTCACAACCAGAAGCAATGATACTGATAAGAATAACAGCCTTTCTGCTAACACTAACACGCTCTCTCTCTCTCTCTTGTACTCTCCACAAAACCAAAGGGGAGAAGATATAAGGTTATAATTGCTATTTGGAAGGCTCATAGTGGTCTTGCTTCTTCCAGATTCCAATCTTTTCCCAGCATTCTTCGTCCACTCGTAATTAGGTGAAGTTATGAGTGACTGTGTCTATCAAACTACTTCATACAAGCTTGTTAGATAATGCTTTGTTAAGTACCATTATCAAACAACATTATTCAACGAGGTTATCATAATGTAAAAGTTCAACTTCATTACTAGTAGATATTGTCATCTTTGGGATTCTCCTTTCAAACGTGTCTGTTAGGAAGAGGTTTCCACACCCTTATAAAGAATGGTTCGTTCTCCTCCCCAACCGATGTGGGATCTCACAACTAGAGAGAGGCTTCTACACCCTTATAAAGAATGTTTTGTTCTACTCCCCAACCGATGTAAGATCTCACAACTAGAGAGGCTTCTACACCCTTATAAAGAATGTTTTGTTCTACTCTCCAACCAATGTGGAATCTAACAATCCATCTTCCAAATGGTATTAGAGTCGGTCACTGGATAATACGAGACACTGATGGAGTAGGGCTAGACCCTCTTTATATTAGACGTGTTTTAAAATGGTGAGGCTGACGGCAATACGTAATAGTCCTAAGCAGACAATATCTACTAGCTGTTAGCTAACGGTTTAGTTGGTAGACACATGGAATAATCCATTTGAGATGGAAAATTGAAACTATGTTGTTGAAAACTTTTAGAAATACACATAAACCAGACAGATGTATGAATTGAAAAGCTTTAAAGACTGATTTAGAGAATGAAAAGACTGAATCAACAACAACTTACAGATTAACCAAAATAATAACATGGAGAGGGGAAACAAAAAAGAAAGAAAAAGAAGAAGATTACAAGAACAAAAGTTTCAATCAGTGCCAGAACCTTCCACTCAAATGCGATCAACCTAATCCTTAGCTTTCCTTTTATCAACAACAAAAACAGTGCCTTTGTGCCTCGTCAACTTGCAATGGGATTCCCCTCTTCATTCACAAATCTTTGCCTATAAAAGCACCAACTTCTAAGCTCTTAGCAGACTGTGAGTTCAAATAACACTAAGCATTTCAAAGAAACCCTCCTCTTCCTCCTTCTCCTTCATTCCAAGCTTCAAAAATGGTGGGTTCTTTGAAAAGAGAGCTCCAATGGAGCCTCTCTCTTCTTCTTCACCTCCATTTTCGTCTCCTTTTTAATGGGTTTGCTTAAAGTTTCTATCTTTTTTTGTTGTTAGGATGGTAAGCTAAGCTGGACAGTAGCTGATGCAGTGGATTACAAAGGCTTTCCTGCAGAAAAATCCAAGACTGGTGGATGGGTTCCTGCTGCTCTTATCTTAGGTATATGAATATTCAGCTCTTTAATCTTTAAAAATGTGATTCATTTTAAAATGTTTTGTGTTCCATAAAGCTTCTTTCTTAATTTCGTTCAAAACAGAATCAACAAAAAGTTGAGCCTTTTCTGCTTTGAATCTTCTTTAAATATAAACAAAACTATGATTAACTTTTGAATATAATTATGCATGCAAATTTAAAAGTAATACTCATGAGGTAAGTATCATTCAAATCACTTTATGCTTTTATTCAACGTCGAGTTATGGAATATTTGGCACGAGGGGAATTGGCTTGGCCTTCTTCTTGTTCTTCTTTCTGTCTCTGTGTTTTTCCCGAGAAAATAACAGTGATCTGCAAATTTTCCCGAGAAAATATGGAAATGGTAGCAGATTCCTTCACGATTCGTAATAATTTTTTTCCCATACTGTTCATGATTGGAAGCAAGAGCTTGATGAGAAATGATTTTCAGGTATTGAAATATGCGAGAGGCTATCAACAATGGGAATAGCAGTGAATCTTGTGACGTATTTGGGTGGGGTAATGCATCTACCCAGTGCAGCTTCAGCCAACATCGTTACAGATTTCATGGGAGCATGTTTTCTGCTGTGTTTGCTTGGTGGCTTTCTAGCTGATTCTTTCCTTGGACGATATTATACCATTCTCATCTCTGCTTCCATTCAAACTCTGGTATGTTTTGAATCAATCACTTTAAGAGCTAAACACATGGCGGTTTTTGATTAAGATGGTTAAATATTTTGTGCTATAGGGGACTGCTGCACTTGCAGTTTCAACAAAACTGCCACAGCTTCGTCCGCCGCCGTGTGATGGCATCAAAGACTGCAAGGAAGCAAATGGGTATCAAATGGGAATTCTGTACCTAGCTTTGTATCTGATTGCTTTGGGGACTGGTGGCTTAAAATCAAGCATTTCTGGTTTTGGAACAGACCAGTTTGATGAGACAGATGAGAAGGAAAAGGCTAAGATGGCGTTCTTCTTTAACAGGTTCTTCCTGTTCATCAGCACTGGGACTTTGATGGCTGTTACTGTGCTGGTTTATATTCAAGATGAAGTTGGTCGGAGTTGGGCTTATGGGATCTGTTCTGTCTCGATGCTTGTCGCGATTTCGTTGTTTCTTTCGGGGACTAAGCGGTACAGATACAAGAAGAGCAAGGGGAGCCCTGTAGTTCATATACTTCAAGTGATTGCTGCAGCAATCAAGAAGAGAAAACTGGAGCTTCCTCAGAATGTTGGTATGCTTTATGAGGATTCTTCTGAGCAAGGTTCAAGAATCGAGCACACAAAACAATTCCAGTATGTTCATTGTTCTTGGAGTTCATTGTTCAAGAATCATTTCCTGAAGTTTAGTTTAGTTGATTAATGTGATTCCTTTTGGCATAGGTTCTTGGACAAGGCTGCAATTGTTGAACAAGGAGATTTTGAGGCGCATGGAGCTGCTTCAGCTCTAAATCCATGGAAGCTAAGCTCAGTGACGAAAGTGGAGGAGGTGAAAATGATGGCAAGGCTGCTACCAATATGGGCCACAACCATCATCTTCTGGACTACATATGCCCAGATGATCACTTTCTCAGTTCAACAAGCTTCCACCATGGAAAGGTCCATTGGATCATTCCAAATCCCAGCAGGCTCTCTCACTGTCTTCTTTGTAGCAGCCATACTGATAACTCTTGGTGTTTATGACCGTATAATCATGCCTCTTTGGAAGAAATGGAAAGGCAAACAAGGTAAATCAAGATCCATTAAAATCAAGTACATACACCTTCAATGAATCCTGACTAATTATGTTCTTATGCCACAGGCTTCACAAACATTCAGAGAATGGCCATAGGCCTTGTCCTGTCAATACTTGGAATGGCAGCAGCAGCCATAGCCGAGAGGAAGAGGCTAGCAGTGGCAAAAGCAGTGGGCGGCGACACAGCTACTCTACCTATAAGTGTGTTCCTATTGATCCCACAGTTCTTCTTGGTGGGTGCAGGGGAAGCCTTCATATACACAGGGCAGCTTGATTTCTTCATAACCAAGTCCCCCAAAGGGATGAAAACCATGAGTACTGGCCTCTTCCTCACCACTTTATCACTTGGGTTTTTCATCAGCAGCTTCTTGGTTTCTGTTGTGAAGAGAGTGACAGGAACCGATGGAGAAGGCTGGCTTGCAGACAATATAAACTACGGCAGACTTGACTGTTTCTATGGGCTATTGACCATATTAAGCCTTATAAACTTTGTTGCTTTTCTGGTTTGTGTTATATGGTACGTGCCACAAAAGCGCAAGGACCAGCAGAAGAGTGGCATGGTCAATGGCAACATGGCTGAAGAGAAATGCTAGAGGGAACTATTCACACACTCCCAAGTGTTATGTAATGTTTCGACTTTTCCTTCCAATTCTCTGACGCACTTTAAATTATCATCTAAAGTAGTTTGGATTGAGAATGTATGATGGTTTATGTATAAAGTACTGCCAGTTTCAAACGATGAATCCAATGTCCATGCACCAAAATTTCAGTCATCTCTCCCACAATTCTTTAGCAATTCCATCAGATTCAGACCGAACTTGTTCTTCGGGTTATGGGATTATCCAATTCTAGATCATGGGTTTGTTGAGGAGTGTTGGGAGAGAAGTCTCGCCTCGGCTAATTAAGGAGGAGATCATGAGTTTATAAGTAATGAATACATCTCTATTGGTACGAGGTCTTTTAGGAAACCAAAAGTAAAGTCGCGAGAGCTTATACTCAAAGTGGATAATATCGTATCATTGTGGAGGTCCCTAGTTCCTAACATGGTATCGGAGTCATGCTCTTAACCTAGTCGTGTCAATAGAATTCTCAAATATCGAACAAAGAAGTTGTGAGCCTCGAAGGTGTAGTTAAAAGTGACTAAAGTGTCGAACAAAGGGTGTAGGGTGAGTACACCCTTCATTCGAGGGCTCCAGAGAAGAAGTCGAGCCTCGATTAAGGAGAGGTTGTTCGAGGACTCCATAGGCTTTAGGGGAGGCTCTATGATGTACTTTGTTCAAAGGGAGGATTGTTGGAAGAGGAGTCTCACATCGGCTTATTAAGGGGTTGATCATTGGTTTATAAGTAAGGAATACATCTTCATTAGTATGAGACCTTTTGAAGAAAGTAAAGTCACGAGATCTTATACTCAAAGGGGACAATATCATATTATTGCAGAAGCTCCCGGTTCCTAATAGGGTTTGCATGGTATGATCACACTAATTCGAAAAAAAGCTCGTCCTGAGCTCGAGTACATGTCACGTTGGCTTGGCTTGGCGTGCCGTCTGGCAAACAAAAGTTGGAATGTAGAATTATGTTATTCCCATAATACAAAAACCAGACGAATCCAGAGATTGGACCGAATCATAATGGGAAGATTTTGGAGAATAATGAATGGTCGGCGAGGGCAAGTGGGGAGAAGAAGGACAACAACGATGGAGGAAAGTTTGAATAATCCTTTTGAAAGAACAAAAAGGGGAGCGGGTGAGGGGCCAGCGTTATCCTCTAAACCAAAAAGAACAAATTCTTTATGTACAAAATGGAATAAAATCACCTCAATCAACAAGAATATGCATAAGGACATACTGATAAGGACGAGCAGCATTAGCAGTGCCATCCCTCTAATCTTAACTTGAATTACGCCTTCGTTAACTAACGTGGGATCTCACAAATTATGTTTGTTATTAATATCAACTCCAGCTTCAATCCCATTAGCATTTTTATCGTAATGCTCCCTATAAAACCAAACAAGCACCATCTTATCTTCAAATAGAAGCTCATGGCATATAAGTGAGACAATATTTCCATTAGTACGGCCTTTTCCAAGGGTTCTAAATGCAAAGCTAAGAAGAGGGTCGATATTCAAACTATAAGATAGATATCAGCAAATTGAGAAGGAGAGTTCATTAGCATGTAAATAACAACAAGAACATAAGAGCAGACCCAGACGCATAATAGAGTTATCAGAAGACCTTTTGATCAGAAGCAGCAGAGCCAACAACATAGCAGCCATGCAGCTTTGCGAACCGTCCAACCAAACTCCCAGCAGACCCAGAAGCAGCAGACCCAAACACTAAATCCTAACCAAAACCAAACTAAATGAGAACATAACTTCGTTCCTGTAAATACACTTTAATATCCCTTTAAGGGCATAACTTTTCAGCAAACAGATACTTTTACCTTAAATGAACGTTATAAAGAGCAAAGAGTTTCATCTTTGACAGAGATGGTGGGTATAACCCATTAGAGCTGTACAAAAGGAAAATTAACATGACTACTAAAACCAAGCAAAGCATTGTCATCACGTTTGTCGTTGTCGTCATCGTCATCTTGACAATATCAAACGGAGAATTTCTCCCGAGTGCTTAAAAGATTTCTCAGTTTCCTCCAGGCAATGATTCTTCTCCTCCCTACTCCAGCTCTGGTATACAACCATGGTTCAGTACAACACAATATAACAAAAAGATGTTCTTGGAATTCAATGGAAAACAATCGATGACACGAAAGAAAAAAGCAAATCGACCCCGTAGGACGAAACACAGTGGCTTACTTCGGCAACTTTGTTCAGCTTCTCCCTTACATTCTCCAGCAATTGGGAAAGGTCACCCTCCCATTTATAAAATTCCAACTCTTTGTTGTTGAGTATCTTTTCTGCTACCTGCAGTAGATGGATGTAAAAGTGGGACTAAGTCAATTGAAGGGAAGAACTCGCACCATATGACGACACAACACGGCTTATACCGAGGTAGATTATCGCTACATGACAAGGAGAAATTCAACAAATGTGACATTTTGACACTTCTAAATGAAAGTTGCAACTTTAGAACAAGTAACACGAGCAATTTATTCTCGAAACCAAAGACCTCCGCCCCGCCCCCTCATCTTTTTTCTTTAGTATTTGTGAGTATCTGACTCAATTCATTGACCTCAGCCAACAATCATTCTGAATGCCCTGCTACCTACGGCCCAACTCTAACTAACAATATTCTCTGAGCCCCTGCTATGGTCTCGTGTACCTGCATCTTCCTTCCCACACTTTCGCACATACACTTTCGTGATTGCATTCTATCAAGTTACATGCACCTCAACTATTTTCACGTAACAACACATGATCGTACTATATTTAGTTGTCGAGGAAACCAATATTCTAATAGGTGGCCACCATGACTAAAAATTCATTCTCTAGCCTTTTTGTGAGATCCCATATCAGTTGGAGAGGGGAACGAAGCATTCCTTATAAACGTGTGAAAACCTCTCCCTAACAAATGCGTTTTAAAAATCTTGAGAGAAAATCCAAAAGGGAAAGCCCAAAGAGGACAATATTTGCTATCAGTGAGTTTGGGCTGTTACAAATGGTATTAGAGTCAGGTACCAAACGGTGTGCCAGTGAGGACGTTGGGCCCTCAAGGGGGGTGGATTGTGAGATCCCACATCGGTTGGAGAGGAGAACGAAACATTCCTTATAAGGGTGTGGAAACCTCTTCCTAGCATACGCGTTTTAAAACCTTAAGGGAAAGCCCAAAGAGGACAATATCTACTAGCGGTGGGCTTGGGCTATTACACTTTTACGGTTTACCTTGGCACTAATTTGACAACTCGAGTCAAAACCAAAAATGTAAGTGGAAGAATGAAAATGAACATATGGTGAATTTGCATACATACGAAGACAAAGCTCAGAAAGAGTTCCTGAAGATAATGTTTGTTTACCTTTCGCCCAATCATCCGACCACCAGCAGTATGGGCAAAGTACATATTATAGAAATGGCAAATAAATGCTTGAGGATCCTTCTCGGATATCTCTTCAAGATAACGAGCATAGGTAATTCCAGGAGAAGAAGGCTCAGGAATCACAAACCCTTGCTCTTTGAACCATTCCAAATCTTTTGCCAATGGTTCAGACCTTTCCAATCCTGTGTTACTAAACTCTGCATCTATTATCACATACAAATAGTGCACCAATTCAAAAACAAAACAACGAAAAAGCTCATATAACCAAGTCAAATGCTCTGTTAACCCCCCAAACTCCAAACTAGAAAAGTTCATAATGAGATATTCAAACACGTTATATATATATATATATGTAACAATCCAAACCTATCACTAGCAAATATTGCCCGCTTTGGGTTTTCCCTTCTTTCCCTTAAAGTTTTAAAACACGTCTACTAGGGAGAGATTTTCACACCCTTATCAGGAATGCTTCATTCCCCTCTCCAACCGATTGAGATCTCACAATCCACACCCTTATAAGGAATTCAAGTCCACCACTAGCAGATGTTATCCGCTTTGACCCCTTAGTATTGTCATCGGCCTCAAAGTTTTATAACGCGTCTATTAAAGAGAAGTTTCCACACCCTTATAAGGAATGCTTCGTTTCCCTCTCCAATTATGGGATCTCACAAACAGCGATGAGGTTGAGCCCCAAAAGGGGATGGACGCCAGAGGGTGTGGCAGCAAGGATTGGAACAACATATGCACGCCCAAAGTGAATCAAGACATAAGTAAAAAATTCATAAAAATCCATATTCAAGAAGCCAGGAAATGAGCAAAACAAACTTACAGAACGGAAATACAGCCTTAGCAATGATTGTATCAAGTGTATCATAAACCAGTTTGCTATCAACAAGAAACCTCAAATACCCTTCAACAGTCGGCTCCCATTCAGCAACAGGCCCCTCTTGGGGCTCTTTACTCACTTTCTCACCCTCTTTAGCTTGATCCCTGGTGTGCAATTTCATCGCCACAAACCTCATCTCCTCCACAAACCCTTTTGATTCACCAGGGTACCTCTTCTTCGGCTTCTCAGCCGTGGTGGCCGAAATAGGAGGCACAACCTTCGTTCGAACGGTTGAAATTCCCACAGGATTCTTCGCGAAGAGAACCCTTTTGGGTAAGAAACAGGAATCCAAACTTGGGTTCGAAAAAGAAGCTGGAACCATGAAAAGGGTTTTATTGAAGAGAGACTGAAAAGGAGAAATTGAGTTAAGGGAAGCCATGGTCGAAGAAAACGAGTAGTGGGTTATAAGAAACAGAGATTTGAAACAGGGGTTCACAGAATGTTGAAGAAGAAGCTATGAATGTTGTTTATAAGGGGAAATTGAAGAAAACAAATGGTACCCATTAACCAGAAAGAGACAGAAGAAGGAAGAAGCAAGGTACGGGAATGGAGCTGAAGTCGCCGGGTTCCGTGTCCACCATCGCTCTCTGGATAATTCCAATGCGAGATCATCAACGCAGCGCGCTTTTTTTGCTTCCTAAAAATATGTTTCCATGTAAAGAACAAAAATATTAACATCTTTCTATTTGGAGATTCTAGATTATTGAGGTGATTGATCCTTACTTTAGATTTGGATGTCACACACAAACAAAAATATGCATAATATCATTATTTTATAAGGGAAAATATGATTATAATCGCGTGTTATGATTCAAATAGAACAATATTTGTTAGGAGTGAGACTTGATAGATGATTTAGCACATGCATATTCTTATTTTTAAGCACGGACAAGTATATAATAAAAGTTGGTATTATTCCAATTATGAAAGATAATACACATGATTATTTTGAGTAGTGAAAACTCATTACTGGTTATTGAACTGGGAACAGAGTTTTCTAATCTCCCCTTGTGTGCCGGTCTTGACGTCGAGGCTACTCAGCTTAACCATGGCTTTCTTGAACTCATAGTTAAATCTGAGGCCGAGCAAGCCCCTTAAGTTGCCGGCATACCTCTGCACAATGTCTTTGGTTGAAGCGTGTTGCCACAGCCTCTGGTCCGACTCCAAAACCCCATTTCCATTGACCAAGTTCTTGAAGAAGCTGTTGTCGAATCTCAACTGGCTGTCCTTGTCCATTGCCACGCCTCTGAATGGATCTCCATCTAAGGGGCACAGCGTTCTGAGTTGGGTCAAGAAGGATGGGTTTATTGTTGGGTCTGGATTCCCTGTGCTTGTGAAGTTCTGTAGCCGGTAACTGAATAGTTGGCAGTCTGTTCGTCCGATCGTGTGCGCACCTGTCATCCACCCATCATCATTATAAACTACCGCTCATTTTGGGATATTAAAGGCGAGAGAAGGTGTGAGTAGCTAGTCGACAGTGTCTTTTTTTTAATTTCTTTCCAATTTGGGTATAAGGTTTTTAAAACGCATATTTTATTCTCTTCTCTCACAACTCACCCTTTTTCACTGCCTAGCGTACTTGCTGGCACTTGTTACTCCCTCCAATCGATTGCGAGATCTCCCAATCCACCCTTCTTGGAAGCTCAACGTCTTCTCTGACACTTGTTCCTCTCTCCACACCTTTATAAGAATATTTTGTTCCCTCTCAGGCCGAGGTGGGATTTCAAAGCCCACCCTCTTTAAGGACCCAACATCCTCGTTGGCACTCATTGCTTTCTCCAATCGGTTGTGAGATCTCACATCGATTTGAGAGAGGAACGAGTGCTAATGAAAACCCTAGGCTTGAAAGGAAGTGGGTTTTGATATCCCACATGGATTGGAGAGAGAAGAACAAGTGTCTTTGCTGGCCCCAAAGAATAGATAGTGAAATGGAGAGAGAAACGAGTGTAAGCAAAGACACTAGTCCTCGAAGGTAGATTGTAAAATCCCACCACGGTTCAAGAGGGAACAAAACAATCTATAAGGGTTTGTAAACTTTTCCCTAACAAACGCGTCTTAAAAACTTTGAGGGAATATCGAGAAGAAAAAGATAATATGTATGAGCGGTGAGGTTGGTCTGTTTGATACGAACCAACTAAAGTAACAAGATCTTCTTCAGTAAGCCCTTTCTCAGCGAACTTTTGTATGTGGACATCGATGGGCTCAAATGGAGAAGGAAGATCTTCAGCCTGGAAACTCATAGACACTCTCCCATCCCTTCTTCCAGTGGGCACAGACCAGCTTGGGCCATCACTCTGCAACATGGTTTCAAATCCAACCCTTTTAACCCTACATATCAAAGCCTTACAAAGCAATCAAATCAAGAGTTACCAAGTCTACAGCATCACGAGTAGCCAAAGCAAGTATATCCGCGCAAGAAACAACCCCAGGGCACAGATTTTCAAGCTGAGCTTTTGCATCATCGACTACTTCAAAGCCTCTCAACCCCATGTTTGGCCCTGCATTTATTTCAGCTCGTTCGTCCATGATCAACACTGAACCATCGCACCCCTGCCCATGTTAATCAAAAACAGCGTATCAGTCGGTTATTAAACGTGCATGAAAATGATATGTTGAAGATTGTTGGGAGAGAATTCCACGTTAGCGAAGTTAGAAGATAGCCATGGATTTATAAATAAGGAATATATCTCCATTCATATGAGGCTTTTTGGGGAAGTCCAAAACATAATCACGAGAGCTTATGTTGAAAGTGCACAATATCATACAATTGTGAAGAGTTGTGATTCCCAACATGGTATCAAAGTCATACTCTTCATTTTTCCATGTCAATAGAATCCTCAAGTGTCGAAGATCGTTAAAAGTGACTCATGTGTCGAACAAAGGATGTACTTTGTTCGAGGGCTCCAGAGAAAGGAGTCGAGCCTCGACTAAGGGGAGGTTGTTCGAGGGTTACATAGACCTCAAGGAAGGCTCTATAGTGTATTTCGTTCGAAGGGAGAATTGTTGAGAATTGTTGGGAGAGAGGGTTTATAAGTTAAGGAATACATCACCATTGGTACGAGGCCTTTTGAAAAAATGATTTATAAGTAAGGAATACATCTCCATTGATACGAGAATATTTTATGCTCAAAGTCAACAATATCATAACACTCGTAGAGCCGTGATTTTTAACATAATATAACTTAAACTCTAAACCCTAAACCCTAAACTTGAAAACGGAGTAAAGAATTGAGAACCTGAACGAAGCAGTCATGGAAGTGAAGCCTGAGCAACCCAGCGGCGATGGTGGGATCAGCCTTGTAATATGACTGAACAGTGGACCTGACAATGGACTCAGCTCTAGGACAAGATTTGGAGTAAAACCCAACAGCCAGCTGAGCTTTTACAGGCAAAATCATTGCTAGAATTCCCAGAAAAACCCACCAAATGGCTTTGGTTTGCCCCATTTTAGGCTATTCTATGGGTTTGATCAAAGCTCTACAATTACTGATATGCTTCTATTATGGCTTCCATTGCATATCTATTTATAGCCCTTTTGCTTTGGCTGTGTTGTGTTGAATTTAGAGCTTCTCCCAATGAACTCCTACAAAACTTAGTGGAAAACAGGCCTGCGTTCCATCCAACTACAAGTGGTGAGTTTAAAATGAAGTGAATTTAATTTGCCTTATTTTTTATGTTCTTTTTCAGCTTTTACAAACTATTCGTAAGAGATAATGGGGTATTTCCTTGTCTGTATTTTAAGATGTAAAAGAGATACAAATTGATTTGATTATATATTTAGGCATACAACTCTCAGCCAATACACTGAAAGTGTGTTAGGTTTAGTGCAAGTATACACTTAGACAGCAATATGGTTACCAGCATATTAAATATTACTTTTCAAGAAAAGAAAAGAAAGTGGGAAAACTACCTTTAGTTCATCGCCAAAAATATCTGACATTAACGATATTTGAACATTTTGAAGGTCTTTCATTTGATCAGGTAGGGGCCGCGCGAACGCAGGCCCCAACAACCACAAATTATGACGTAGGCTCTGCCTCTCAGGACAGACCTTAGGCGGGCACCCCTCCTAAAGTGCAATGGAGGTCACCAACATAGGCCATGAACCTTCATGATCGCCCATCGACCCCGTCCAGGTAAGTAATTGTGATCGTAACCAGTTCATCCCTTTTTATAGCCACTCCCGCCTCTCATCTCTGCAAGTTCTCCGATGTGGGACGACCAAACAGCGGTTGAATGAGGGAATTTAGTGGGAGATTTGCAATTTTCTTAATTTTCTGAAATATTTGTGGCAGCTAATTTTAGGGTTTAGATCAAATGGGTCTATCCAGAAAGCTCTACATGCAACCCCAATGTTCCAACTTAATGGACCCACACTCACATGCACTCTTAATATCATCACAGCCATCAAAGTACCTGCGTCATTGTCGTGGCTTTTCTCGTTGCCAAGCTCCATTGGCACCCAGTTATCAATCTCACAATTTTAAAATGCGTTTATTAAGGAGAAGTTTTCACACCTTAAATTCTTCGCTCCCTTCTCAAATCAACACGGGATCTCACAGTCTACCATCTTTGGAGGTCTAGCATTCTCACTATGTCTATCTCCAATGTCGATACCATAAGTTCACCACTAAGAAGGGAAGGGAAGGGAAGACTTTGAGGTGTGTGGTTCGGCCCATAACAAACCAAAGTCTACCGTAATTTACTACTATCATAGTTCATTAATAATTAGGCCCATAACAAAACTGATGAGCAGTTAGGCCTTGTTGGGCCCTAGTGTGAAAGTTGAAGTGGAACGACGCCGTTTGAATGAATCTTTTATGTAAAATAATTAATAAAACAAAAGTTGTGGGTCTGATTTGGGAAGAGAGACAAATGTAAGGACGAAATGCAATTACTTAAAAGATGGTAAAAACCAGTTACCAAATAAGAAATGAGAAGGATATTTATGGAATTGGGAGATGAATGAAATAATCTCTGTTACAGAGGTGGGTCCCATCAATTAATTTAATTAATTTTATAATTTATTCCATTAAGAATTAAGAATATAATTAAAATGCGATTACCATGTGACCCTCTTGAGGATAAAAGCCTAAGGCAATGATCTAAAGAGAACAAAGACTTGGTCCACCCATTACATGAAAAAAATGAACATTCCGTATTTACCCCTACCCTGCCTTTGACGTGTCGTGCAATCCAAACATCCCTAGCCACTACAAAATTCCTTACTTCCTAAATTGACCCTCGCCTTTTTAAATTTCAAAAAACAAAAATAAATAAAAAATCACGACCTAATACCATTACTTAAATTTGTAAATTCAATTTTATAAATCATAATAAAATAAAATAAAAAAGTTATATTGTAACGTGGCACGTGTCCACACATGCAGCACAGCGGCAGAAAGAAATGGTTGAATTTGGAAATTATGTTTTTACTTTACATTTATTGCTTTGTTTATCTAAGAAAATACAAAATGCATCCCCTTTTTCCCCTTTTTATCTCACAACAAAACAAACCTCTCCAAATTCCCATTTTTCAAAATGAGGACTTTGCTTGGTACTTCTATCACTCCCATCCCTTATAAATTCATGATATTCCATCAAATTAGTCCACGTGGGACTCACTTTTAATTATAATCTATTAATTCTTTTATTTTGAAAAAAAAAAAAAGACTATAATTTAAAATTAAATTGAATTGTAGAGTCGCTTCGATTGCATCACCTGGTTCACCTTCCCCCTTTCTCTGTCCTGTTTATAAATCCCCTCGGTTGTCGATTACGTTGCTACTCGATTATGTCGTCGACGATGAACTCACAGGGGATGGCTTTGGCCGTGGCCACAGCCATGGCAGCCGTCTCCGGCACTGTAATTCTTCTCTCCTTCTGCATCCAAAAGTCCATCCAATTCTCACCTCCGACTCCATCTCTCCGTTCCTGTATTCCCTCCTCCGGTAAGTTCTCCAAAATTCCCATCTAATTTCTTCCTCTTTCAACTCTTGAATTGAGCTGATTCTTCCCGTAATCGACGCTTTTCAGACACGAAGAAGACCAAGAAGAAGAACAAAAGGGTCCACTTCGCAAAAGACGTCGTCGATCCTATCGGCAACGGCGACGATTTCCGAAGACAACACGAACTCGCTTGCAACAACAATAATTCCAACACCGCTTCTCCGCCGTCGCAAAACCCCCCCACCGCCCCTCGAGGAATGCCGGCGAACAGAGTAGCGCTCTATAACGGGATTTTAAGAGATCGCGTTGTTCATCGTTACGCTTACTCTTGTTGAAATTCGCTTCAATTCCCCAATTTGTAAACTCAATTTTCTCTCCTCTGTATAGAATTTGACGTAATTAAAATCCCTCTTTGCACAAATTCCCTTAATTTTTTGTTTTGATTTCTCGCCCGACAATAATTGGAGCTTGCCTTGGTTGTGCAAGCAACTGTAAGCCAACGGTAACGGCTTTTTTGGGGGGTTACTGACGAAGGCAAGGTGCTGTCAGTCAAATTTTATTAATTTATTAATATTCAGTGCAAAGGTTGAAGATGGGCAGCTTCCAGGATGCTTCCTAGACATGATTCCTTTTCAAAAATTTCAACTTGGACCACGACCGCAAATATTTTGTAATTAACTTTCTGTTATTTCTTCTGCAGAGTCTCAATTATTGGCCCTTAACTTTATAAAATTGCATATTGGTGGGTGTGAAAGTGAAGGCCAAATAAATATTTTTAACTCAAGCAAATTTATTTTAATTGCGGAAGGGCCCTCGGACAATGTCGAATTTGTCGTTTGAAGCCCCTCGACAGTCTGCAAGGGACGACCACACAGAGTATGGCCAAAGATATTAATAAATAAATAAAAATGGGAGAAGAGGGCGGATTTTGTTTTTTTAATTAATATTTGTGTATTATTAATTTTTAAAAAAATATTGGAAGTTTCAGATATGGTGACTAGACTTTTTGTTTATAACTTGTTGTGTTCACAAATAATATATATATGTCTGTGTTTGGAAAGTATGTCGACACTATGCCAGTATTGATAAAAATAATGTTTTTAATAACAGTAATTTAGGTGTAGAATAATGAACTTAGAACCTGGAAATATGGTCAAAATCAAGATAGAGTGACTCTGTTCTTTTGTTTTTCCAAAACGTTTTAACCGATAATGTTTTTTACTTATATACTTATGATCTTCTACTTAATTAGTCAACGTCACAGTTCAACCATCGGTAACAAAAAGAAATTTATTTTTATCCTTTTAATAAATTATTCAATTCTTAATTTATACCTTACCGTATTGAAAATTATTGAGAGTTAGTTTCACATTAGTTAATTTAGTCGAAGATCAGAGAGCATTTTGGGGAGCCCAAAGTGAAGCTATAAAAGCTTAGGCTCAAAGAGGACAATATTATGACTATATTAATAATAATATAGTTTTACATCCTGCCATTTTTATTGCTTGTTTTGTTTGGTACAAAGAATTCTTTCCAACCTGTCCTTATGTGTATCATGTGCTTTTAATACCACGACTCATTCTTTAGTTGGTCGAGTCTTCTATATATGTATTTTTTTTTTTGGAAAGATATTAAAAAAAAATGGAATTTTCTTCCACGAGTTAACTATTTAAATAAATAATAGGAATTTGAGGAAAATAAATTATTTAGCCTCTCATAAAATAATAATAATAATAATAAAAAAGAGGAAATGTATTTATTTATTTATTATTTTTTTAAATAGAGAAATATTGGGAAGTGGGAAAGTTGGAGTGGGGCCAATAATTGTAGAAAGTCGGTGGCCATAGCTTCCAATTTCTTGACTTAATTGGAGTACCAATGATACTTTTACGTATATTTAGTGATTAAATATGTTATTTGATGGATGGAACTGATAATTTGAATATCTGACTTCTTCGTCATTTATATTTCAACATCACGACGTTAATCGTAGAATATTGTATAAAAATATTATAATTTACTTTTTATTTCTATGCAACAAATTAAGTGATTAGAAAAATATATACAGACACCTAGAAATAGTAAAAAGTGAACCTAAAAAAATGAGGCATGAGGGTGTAAGTGGGATATGATAACATACCCACCCATTCACTATGACCTCCAATTACATGCCTTCTCAATGACTTCACCCATTAACTTTTTGACCCCTTTGTAATAACTCCTAATAACTATTTTATTATATATAACTTCGCGTATGAGATCGAGGCTTTTAACCCGTTTTTTAAGACTTTTGGTTGCATCTCTATCTTTAAGATCGATAGTGGCAACTTTGGTTGGGTGTCCCTCGAAGATCTCCACTCGAGTTCGGGGGACCTTTGCCTTCATTTTTTGAAGAGCACGAGGTCCCCTCTTCATCAATAGAAAAAACACCATAAAACAATATAATGAACTTTCCCTAAGAAAAATAGTGGTAGGTGAGATGAGAGGGCGTTTTGACAGTGGTAGTCATTATTGTTGGATGATGAAAGTCCCATGTCGGCTAATTTAGGGAATGATCATGAGTTTATAATCAAGGAATACTCTCTCCATTGGAATGAGGTCTTTTGGAGAAGTTCAAAGCAAAGTCATGAGAACTTACACTTAAAGTGGACAATATTATAACGTACTCCTTTCGAGGGAAGGCATTGGATGATAAAAGTCCCACATCGACTAATTTATGAAAGGATCATAGATTTATAATCAAGGTGAGGAATATTCGAAAGCGATGAATTATTGGTAAAGATGTTTTAGTTTGGCATTTTAGGTGAAGGGTAGGTGGCATTTCAATGACTGAAGCATTGAAAAAGGAGCTTTATTATAATTATTATAATTATATATAATTAAAAAAAAAATGAAGAAGGGCTTTATTCATTGATTGGATAAACTTTAAGTTATGGATTAATTAATTTGTCATTTGATTATTGTTGGAATTTCCGTAACATCTCTCTGTTAATTACCTTACAAAATGCATTTAATTAATTTACATACGTAATCTATTTCTAATAATTTATTTCACCAATCCAAGGTATTGTGTTCATCTTAGCTTTACGCCGTCGCTTCCGAGTCCAAGGGATTTGGGTAAGAACTCCTTCATCTTCTAGGTTAAGCTTTGCCGCAGATTGGAGTTACTGAAGCGTTTTTTCATGTTCATTGTCAAATTTTTAGGGTTTTGTATCGATTTCTGTTTTAACAATTTTCAGCATCAGTGACAATCGTGGGATAATGATCTAATTTCTGTGAATCAATTCGGAAATTTCTAGTTTAACTTCTATTGTATAGCTATTTCCCAGGCTTCTTGCTGTAAAATTTATGTAAATGTTGATTGTTTCGATTAACCTTGTCCGAGTTTTGGATTTTGAATAGTTGGGGAAGAATTTATTATTGGGTTAATGCTGTTAAATTTTGGTATTTGATAATGAGATTGGAAGTCGGGAGGGGGGAGGTTGAGGGGAGCTCATTGGTTTGGCCACTTTCTACGAGCATTTTCAGTGTTTCCTTTCGATTTTCCTGCATGTCAGTGTTGGAATTGCGGATATTGAGATATGATAATTTCTTTGTTTTTTGTTTGTGTTTTGTTCCTCCAGCCATGAAAGTACGTGCTTCAGTGAAGAAGATGTGCGAGTTTTGTAGGACAGTGAAGCGTCGAGGTCGAGTGTATGTATACTGCTCATCCAATCCCAAACACAAGCAACGCCAGGGCCTATCAACATCTGCTAGTGAAAAACCTTCTCCCCACCTGTGAGTACTTCCCCATTGTCAGTTCTTAGTCTTTGAATGCATATTTCATTCGTTTATCTGTTAAGATGGAAAACTTTGAAGAATTATGCCTTTTGCCATTGAAGAGAGTTGTTGCATAACTCAAGATAAGGACTGACGATTTATTACATAGGGGCATTGCATGAGTGTGTTAGGGACACATACCTCCATAATTGTACGATATTACCCATTTTGAGTATAAACTCTCATGATATTACTTTTGGTTTTCCCAAAATGTCTCATACCAATGGAGATGTATTCCTTACTTATAAACTCATAATCATCCTCTTAATTAATTAATGTGGGACTCCCTCGAACAAAATACACCATAGAGCCTCTTTTGAGGCCTACGAAGCCCTCAAATAACTTCTCCTTAATTGAGGTTCGACTCCTTCTCTAGAGTCCTTGACCAAAATACACCATTTGTTCGACACTTGAGTTACTTTTGACTACACATTTGAGGCTCACAACTTTTTTGTTCGACACTCGAGGATTTTGTTGAAATGACTAAGTTAAGGGTATGACTTTGATACCATGTTAGGAACCACAAACCTCTACAATGATATAATATTGTCTACTTTGAACATAAGGTCTCATGCCAATAGAAATATATTTTTTACTTATAAACCTATGATCATTCTCTTAATTTGATTAGCAAATGTGAGACTCCATCGTCAACATCGTCAACATCGTCAACATCGTCAACAGAAGAATGGAGTTATGCACTTATGTAAAACAAAAATGGACATAACTCATGCATCAAATTGTAGAACTTTTGCTATTTCTTGAGTGCCAAAAAGTATGGTACTTTTTATTTTCGTATAAAGATGATGTTGAGGCCAGATTCCTTAAATTTATCACTTGCAAGTCTTCTTCCAGTTTCATCCTCTACCATGCAGCTAGAGATTAGTTTTGGGGATTGTTGGAAGTCATTTTTTCATTCCTCATTATTAGTATGTTCAGTTCTCTTCTTATTAACACATCCATATGTAGGATGATGGTATTCAGGTTTTTACTTGGGACTAATCACATGATTCTTGTAGCTAATTGCATCAAACGTGACCCGCTTTTTCAGGTTCCCAAGTAGTGAGGTGAAGCAAGAGATTCTTCCCAGTCATAGCTCACGAACAGGTCTGGCTTCTCTCCTCCCCCAAAAGCATGAGCCAACAATGTTGATTGGTTGGAGAATGGGTCTAGCTTCAATCCTGTTGAAGAAACACAATTAGCTGAAGTCCACGATTACAAACATCTCGATTTCTGCGGGCCACGAAAATTTCTACAATTTGATTCTGCTCCTTCTAACAAGAAAAAAGCTCTGCTGCTCTGAGTTTTGTTCTGTTTGAGTTGGTTCTGATATTTAGAATGGCAGGACGAGCTGTTACATTGAGCCGGCGATCATTTTCATTTTCAGCTTCTGAAAAGTGGCGGCAGAACTGAACTGCGCCCTGTATTATGTTGGAGATTAGAACATGACTTGCAATCCTTAATTTCCTTCTAAATAATCCTCAAATCCATCAACATATGATGAATCAAGTTGTATGCTAACAAGTTAAGAAAAGTTTGAATTCTATTTTAGTTTCATTTTCCATATCTATTTCAACTCTAGCTTACTTTTAGTGGATTGGGTTTAAACATAGATCATTTTCAAGTTGAAATGTATATAGAAATTTCTAAGAATCAGGTAAATATAGATCATTGAATCATTGATGTTTAAAAGGGTAACTTTTAAGTTATCTATGGGTGAGGTATTTATTCTAAAGTTGAAGATTTGGTATGATTTATTCTAAGGTTAGAAAATTTGGTCTCGAACTTTGAAAAATTGGCGAGGAAAACAAAACCAGCATGATTTGAATATCATAAATGAAAGGTCCAAGTAGTAGATTAAATAAGAAATCACTGTGTTTGCTGCTGATAATGGTAACCCAGTGGGGAGTGGGGGCCAGAGCCACACATAAAAGGGAGTATAAACCACCAACAAAAATCCACCACTTGAACTATCCATATTACCCCCGGGAGGAATTCATTACTCCATATCGATACCCATCTCTTTTCTTTTCTGATTTCTGAGTTTCTAGGAAACCCACCCATTTTCTTTTATGGTATTTGGTTGATTCTCACTTCCACTCGAGTTTTCCCTTTTTCTCTCATCTAACTTTCAGTTCTCTTGGCCCCAAAGTCCACTCTATCCCTTTCCAGTTTGCTGGGTTTTGGGTTCCCATTGGTTTTTACCTGAATCGATGCCCTTCTCTGCGCTTTCGGCTCATCATCAACATGGTCATGCTGAATAGTTCCTTCGCCGCGTGGATCAGCCGCTTGTTCGCTTGCATGGGGTAAGTTCTTTATCTTCCTCACCTATCATTCAATGCAGTTTTGGAAAGGACTTGTATGTAATCCTTGATCCTAATGGAGTTCTGTGATGCCCCTTTTGTGTATCCCTTGTGAATGATTCTGTTTTTTGACTTACTGAGCAGTACACAGTTTTCTTTGGGCATCTTTGATTAATATGAAAGAATTTTGATTACTTATTGGTTTTACAGAGCTTGTTGAGTATTCAATTTTGATTGTGTATATTCCAAGTTGTGCGGAAATGGGGCCAATAATATGAACTAGTTCATTTCTTGTTTGTTTTCTGGGCGAAGAAAGTGAAAAGCCAAGTCTTATTCCTTTATGAGGTTGCCCTAACAACTTTATCCCCGATCAAAAAGGTCAAATACTAAAGAACCCATTATCATCCATCATAGATTATTATAACTTTTGTTCATTTACGAGGAGGAAGTAGCTCTAAGATGGCTAAGTATTACTTTTTGAACGTATTTCTTTTGCTTTCATATTGCATTACCCTTGTGTTGTGTGAATCCATGGAGTTGTCAAGAGGGTATTAGCCGCCTAATACTTGTCTGTTGTAGACTGTAGTCTTAATACTATAGTTTTCTGGTGCTGATTTAGTAAAAAGAATTGATATGAAGGTGGATCCTTGAAAAAATGAAACTAAATTCATTAATATTCGAAGTTTATGCTTGGAAGTATGAAACCCCCACACTATTCTTAGTTCTGTAGAAGCTGAATTGTTTCTGAATTGTAGTTGAGATGTTTAATTGCTGCACAATCATTCCCAGTTTCCCTTAGGCTCTTCTTTCGTTTTTCGCCCCGTTTAAATGGTGTTATTGCTTACAACTTCATTAGTAGATGCGTAATCATTGTTGTTGTAATAGCCCAAATCCATCTCTGGCAGATATTGTCCTCTTTAGACTTTCCCTTCCGGGCTTCCCCTCAAGGTTTTAGAACGCATCCACTAGAGAGAGGTTTCCACACCCTTATAACTGAAGTGGGAATGTCGTAGTTGTCATCCAATCTATGGTGTACTATAATATTCGGTTTACCATGGTTTTTAACGTACACGTTCCTTTTTCCGAAGTGTTCTGCTTGTGTTCATGGTGACATCCATTCAATTCATCATGAGAACTCGAGCAACTTGGGATTAATCAATGATCACTCTACATTCAATTTAGAACGTGCGTTCACATAATTCCTATTGTTAATAGCTGTGTGTGTGCATCTAACCATAAATGAAATATTTGACAACTGCCTTGCATTATTGATGAATGGTGCACATGCTATGTTTTTGCTGCAATTTTATAGCATATACTGCTTTATTAGGTTTATAACAGTGCAGGGGTTGTTTTGGATGCTGCACTAAGCCCACACCTATTATTGCTGTGGATGAGCCATCTAAGGGATTAAGAATTCAAGGACGAGTAGTCAAGAAACCGAGCATATCCGATGGTTTTTGGAGCACAAGCACGTGTGATTTGGATAATAGCACCATTCAGTCTCAACGAAGCATCTCGTCTATCAGTACATCAAACCTCACACACAGTCAAAGCAATGTTGGTGGCAGTGTGAGCAATCCTTCTGAATATGTAAACCATGGCAAGTTTCCCTCTTTCTCATCTGATCTTTGTTGAAGTCGTGGGTAACATTCGAGATCGTTAACTGCATTTAACGAGCTATCGTTTCTTCATTATAACCTGGTCAATATAGAGACGAGCGATCTACTTATCTTCATTGCGTTCAGGTTTGCTTCTCTGGAACCAGACTAGGTTGCAGTGGATTGGAAGTAGTAATACAAACACAACGGATGAAACTCCAGAACGACAGAAGGCAAAAATCAGGTCAGTTTACGAGCTTCGTGTGCCTTTGTAAATAGTAGGAACCATATAGGTACGAAAGGTGTATTAATCATCATACCATGTGTCTACGTATGCATTTGTATGCAGCTGGCGTGCAACATATGACAGTTTACTGGGTACGAGACAGCCTTTTCCCCATCGAATTCCTTTGTCGGTAAGTTCGCTGTTGAAGTTTTGTCATTTTTTCGTTCTCCAATCACTGTTCGTTCTATGAATAAGAGATTCAAAATCTTGGTTTGGACAGGAAATGGTGAACTTTCTTGTTGAAGTATGGGAACAAGAGGGCCTATATGATTGAAACTGGTTTTTATTTTGGATACATTCCTTGAATCTCTAGGAAGCTTCTCAGTGTACGGATTGCAAAAGGAGCAAAAAGGGTGTTTTTCTTTATCTTCATCTTTATCTTTATCTTTATCAATCCTCCTGCATTTTTCAGGTGTACAAATGTATTAACACCATTATGCGCTCGAGCGCTTTTGGGTTCTTAAAATCGAGACAGCAGAAGAAGAACTCGATACTCAATATAGAATGATAGATATCTACCATTTTGTATGCATTCTGCTTCGGTTTTCTCCGCTGTTCATTCTATGAATAAGAACACTTTGAAACTCTCCACCATTCACTACCTAGTTTCAAAACTTTCCAAGTTAAGTGAAGTTGGATGGAAATTTTAGGGAAAAAAATGATTTGAATTGGAATTTGGTATTGTTTTTATTGAGCCAACCTGCATTGACCAATCACACATCTTCAGATACCATGGGCTTCTTTTTCATTTATTTACCTCTTCATCCCATTAGGAGGATCCAATGATATATATATATATATATATATATATATATATATAGATATA